ATGGAATGGAATGGAATGGAATAGAATAGAATAGAATAATAGAATAGGAATAGAATAGAAGAATGGAATGGAATGGAATAGATGAATAGAACAGAATAGAATAGAATAGAATAGAAGAATAGAATAGAATAGAAGAATGGAATAGAATAGAATAGAATAGAAGAATGGAATGGAATAGAATAGAATAATAGAATAGGATAGGAATAGAAATAGGAATAGAATAGAATAGAAGAATGGAATGGAATAGAATAGAATAGAATAGAATAGAATAAAATAGGAATAGAATAGAATAGATTAGAATAGAATAGAATAGAATAGAATAGAATAAAATAGGAATAGAATGGATTAGAATAGAATAGAATAGAATAGAATAGAATAGAATAGAATAGAATAGAAGAATGGAATGGAATGGAGAATGGAATGGAATGGAATGGAATGGAATAGAATAGAATAGAATAGAATAGAATAGAATAGAATAGAATAGAATAGAATAATGGAATGGAATGGAATAGAATATAGAATAGAATACTTTATTGGCCAAGTGTGATTGGACACACAAGGAATTTGTCTTTGGTGCATAAGCTCTCAGTGTACATAAAGAAAAAATAAAATACATTCATCAAGAATCATAAGATGCAACAGTTAGTGATAGTCATAGGTTACTAATAAGCAATCAAATCCTACTAGGGAACAAATAAAAACAATATTAATTGTAGAGATACAAGCAACAAGGTTATAGTTATAAGTGGGAAGAGATAGATAATAGGAAGGATGAGAAGAAGAATAGTAATGCAGACTTAGTAAATAGTTGGAATAATGTTGTGGGAATGAGTTGTTTAGCAGAGTGATGGCTTTCGGGGGGAAAACTCCCCTTGTGTCTAGTTGTTCTGGTGTGCAGGGCTCTATAGTATCATTTTGAGGGGAGGAGTTGAAACAGTTTATGTCCAGGATGTGTGAGGGGTCCGTAGATATTTTCACAGCCCCCTTTTAGACCCCTGCAGGATACAGGTCCTCTGTCAAGATTCCGGCAGTTACCCCCCATTTAAATCATGAGTCTCGAGCCAAAGTTCCAAAACTTAAAAAGGATTTATTGAGAGTAAACTTGCCGGCACTGCCTGGGTGCAGCCGACTCTGAGACACATCATTCATTATCACCCTTGACCCTGGCAGACATTCTGCCTTGGCTACGAAGGAAATGAAATGTTAAAAAGTTATGGATATTTATCTACTTAAGCACATCCTAAATGATATTAAAGTAGCCAAAATATCCGTCAGGATTCTTTACAGTTCCCCCCAATTAAATCCTGAGTCTCGAGCCAAACTTCCAAAACTTCAAAAGGATTTACTGAGAGTAAACATACCGGCACTGCCTGGGTGCAGCCGACTCTGAGACACATCATTCATTATCACCCTTGACCCTGGTTTTCCCCTCACCCTCCCGGGTGTATCATAATTCATATTCTCCAATGGGACACCTCCCTAGCCCAGAGTCATCCATCACGTTCTCCAGTTAGAAGTTTGCTCGGCAGAAACTTCAGTCACCTAGTTACTATCTTTGGAAAACTATTTATGGAATGCACTTTTGATTTCCAAGCTGCTGCACTGCTCCTTCCCCCGTCCCTTTCTGTTGACAACTCTAAAAATACCATAGAAATATTTCCATAGAAATGGAAGGCCATTGTTTTTTCCTGACCACAATTGTGCTTAACATTTCTGTCGCTAAATGAGTTTGCCATCTTCCCCCCCCCTTGCTTGCAGACGAACGAGAAGGAGGGAAGAAACCCAGGCGGAAGGGAGTTAAAAGGCAGTGGGAAGGGAAGTCACCTGAGGAAGACGAAGGAGGAGAAGGAGAAGGAGAAGGAGGAGGAAGGAAGTTAGCTTGTGACCTCAAATTGGACGAAACCTTGGACCGCACGCTGGAAGACGGGGCGAAGCAGCACAACTTAACAGCCGTCAACGTACGCAACATCCTTCATGTAAGTGTGGAACACAGCCGACGGGGCGGGTCAGTCCATAAACAGACCGTCCTCGACTTAATGATTCGTTTAGGGACCGGAGTTAGAACAGCCCGGGGGAGTGGGGGGGAGGAAGGACTTAATACAGGTAGTCCTCAGCTTACAACAGTTCGTTTAATGACCGTTCAAAGTTAACAACTGAAAAACGACCGGGTTTTTTTCCACGCTTCACGACCAGTTGCATCTTCGCGTGATCAAAATTCAGGCGCTTGTCAACTGACTCACATTTACGACGGTCGCAGCGTCCCCGGGGTGTGTGTATGTGTGTCACGCGATTCCCTTTTTTGTGACCTCCTGACGAGCAAAGAAAATTCTTTCCTCCCCCCTAGGAAGTCATCACCAACGAGCACGTGGTGGCTATGATGAAAGCGGCCATCAGCGAGACGGAAGACGCCCCGGTCTTTGTGAGTCTGGCAAAGAGAAGGAAGGAGGGAGGGAGGGAGGGAGCAGTTTTCCAGATGGGCCCTGCTGTGGATCCGGCAGGGAAAAATAGATCTGGCAGGTTTAATCTTAATTAAATTTAAAAAAAAAAATTCTCCCCATCTCTTTCTGTCTCTCTTCTGCCTTTCTTTTTGTCTCTTTGTCTCTCTTTCCCTCCCTTTTTCTTCTCCGTTTTCTCTTTCTCTTTTTCTCTCTCATTCTTTCTCTCCCTCTTCTTTCTCTTTTTTTCTCTCTATTTCTCTTTTTCCTCTCGTTCTTTATCTTTTTCTTTCTCTCTTTCTCTCCCTCTGTCTCTTTCGCTCTTTCTCTGTTTTTCTCTCTCTTACTCTCTTTTTCTCTCTCTCTCTTTCTCCCTTTCTCTTTTTGATCTCCCTCTTTCTCTATTTCTCTCTCTTTCTCTTACTCTCTTTCCCCCTTTCTCTTTCTCTCCCACTTCTCCTTTCTCTCTCTCTTTTCTCTATTTCTCTTTTTTCTCTCGTTCTTTAT